GAACCATGAAACAAACAGATTAGTTTTTTGCTGGAATTAAGCCAAATATGTTTCCCTGGGTGTGTACTGTACTGTCTTGGAATTCTGGAGTTTCAATAAGAAAAAGCCCAGAAAAATAGTTTTGCATCCAGTGTTAAAATCCATCTATTCAATAGGAGGCTGGAAGAGGAAGCATCCAAGACTCCAACTACATTTTTTCATCTATTTTATAGTTCAGGAAGAAGATTCAGGATAAAATTTATGATTCAGGTAGTCCTTGACTTACAACCATTTGTTTATAGATCCTTGAAGTTACAACAGCACTGAAAAATATGACTTATGACAGGTCATTTATGTCGCAGGCTCACATGATCAAGTCGGGCACTTGGCAACTGTCTTGTACTTATGACAGTTGCAGCATCCCGAGGTTATGTGATTGCCATTTCTGACCTTCCCAGCCAGTTCCAACAAGCAAAGTCAATTGGGGAAGCTGGATTTCCTTAATAGTTCACTCAGAATGGTTCATTTACCAACTGCATTGATTGGCTTAACAAGCATGGCAAAAAAGGTCTCAAAACTGGGCATTCAATTAACCACCTTGCTTAGCAACAGACACTCTGACCCCAATTGTGATTGTAACTGGAGGACTACCTTTAACCAAGAAGTTTATTTTCACACTAGTTTCATAGAGAAAACCTCCAGGGCTTCCTCACTGTTTGCTCTGCTATTTCACTTACCCAGGGGCAAATTATGACCCACTTACAATATCCTATAAACATCAAAGAGCGGTAAATCCTAAGTATTTCATTTTACCCTTGTTTATTTGGAAAATAACCTTTTCAAAGTCTTTTCATACCAAGTGGTTGCCGATGTTTAGTTTTGCAAAACCATTTGTTTCATTTCAGCCAGGATTTGGCATTTTACTTTTTTCTTCTGAGAAACACAGATTTCCATAAAATGTAAAATTTCTTAATTCAATTTTAAATTTAACAGAGAACACAGAGCCAGTGTCATCTGCAGGAGTCCAAACGGGCAATATCTGTGTCACAAGGGAAACTCTGCTCCTTTATATGCAAATATAATGCTGAGCCACATAGAAAAAGGATAAAAAAGTTTTGACTGCTAGGTTGGCTGTTTTGACTTCCCCCTGCAGATGCTGCTGAAGGCAACCCACCCATTCAATAAAAGCAGCAATTGGAAAACACTGGAGATTGTTCAAATGGGCCACATGTGAGCCTGTCACTAAATCTAGGGAAAATATTCAAACTCCTTGTTTAAATAAATGTGTTTGTTAAAGTTTGGCCTTTGGAAAGTGGAATGATAAGAAAGGGTCAACTTCACATTATTTTGGGTTAGAAAGGACGTGTTTTCTTCCATTCCCATGGAAGAAACCCCTTTCTTTCGATTTTTATTTCTGCCTTCCAGAAGCTGCAGAGATTCTCTTGGTTCCATTTTGGCCAAGAACCCAACCAGACAGAAAAGATGAAGAATTAGAACAAGCAAACACTGCATTATAGGTAGTCCTCGACTTACATTTAGAGCAGTGGTTCTCAGTCTGTGGGTCGGGACCCCATTTCACGGGGGTCGCCAAACAATGCAGTCCGCCATTTTTTTCCCATTTTCCTTAGCTGTGCTACTCCCTTTTATTCTATTGGCTTTTGAAAGCCAATAGAATAGACTCTCTTGAATAGAGTCTAATTCTATTGGCTTTCAAAAGCCACTAGGAATTGTCCAGGCTGTCTCTGCCCTGCTGAGCCCGCCAAAAGTCCCAGTCTGCAAACGGTGCTGCACCAGTTGAGTAGTCCTCGACTTACGACCGGTTGAGTAGTCCTTGACTTACGACCGGTTGGGGGGTCGCGGCATTAAAAAGGTTGAGAACCACTGATTTAGAGATTACAATGGAACTGAAAAAAGTGGCTTGTGACCGTTTTTTACTGTTGCAGCATTCCTGCAGTCACATGAACAAAATTCAGATCTTTGGCAACTGGTTCATATTTATGACGGTTGCGGTATCCTGCAGTCATGTGATCAGCTTTTGGCGACCTTCTGACAAGCAAAGTCAATTGGGAATCCAGATTCACTTAACCATGTTATAGCTTAACAAGTGCAATGATTCACTTAACAATTGTGGCAAGTCGTAAAATGAGGCAAAGCTCACTTAACAAATGTTGCGCTTATCAACATAAATTTTGGGCTCAATTGTGGTCTTAACCTGAGGACTACCTGTAGTTTTATTTAAAACAAGCATCTCAAACACCTTGCAGGCCTGCAAATGTTGGGTTGCCCCTATCACAGGATCTCCAAGGATCCAGGTAAGAGTGGAATCTTCTTGTGTGCAAATCACTTTTTCTCTCTCAATTTCTACAAACAAGCCTTGTGTTAATACATAGGAGCATCAATAGCTGCTTCTAACTGGGTCTCTGGATTGATCCATTTCCACCATCTTCTTCCTGTAGTCTTGAGAGAGCCCATGATCTATTTCTGCCCCGGGCTTACTCTGTTTCTTTTCTTTTAATACTTGTCCCTTCCTCGCTGCCTCAGTGCTCCCTGAATAGGGGAAACACATAACGATTACTCAGTTTATGGAGGCTAGCTCTTTGTTAGAAGGCATCTCTTCTAATTAAAGGATTGTTTTGTCCAAATTCAGCATAATGTCAATAGTCTTTTTCATTATTATCAACTGCATTATATATTAGCTTTTTGCATCCTGATCTATAAAGCTAGAAGAAACCTGGTCGAGGAAGACTAGTTTAAATTTTAAGTATTTTAATTCACGTTTATAAATTACAAAACATGTTAATGTAAATATGCATCTTTCCTTGCTGATGGGTTAAGTATCCAGACTTTATTAGTTCAGATTTGTGCTACAATGTAGATCAGCAGAAAAGCAAATGGTTTGTGTGTAAGGAATTCCAAATTCCTCTATGACTTATTTGAATTATTACCAAAGACAATTGAAGAAGTAGGACCAAGAAAATGCTTCATTTGAGCAATTGGAAAGTAACATGCTTTGAAGAGCCATCAAACTTCAGTTTTACACAATATTTGTTTTTTCCTTATTACAAAAGCCATCACAAAGAAACTAACAAAAAGCAACACACTTTTACTTATGGAAAATAGGACATTACTGCATCTACATTCAGTTTCGTTCTAATCTCCTGGGAAATATGATGTATAATATTATTCAATGACCTACATTATGGTGGGTATTCAAATCTTAAATCTATTCACTGACTGAATAGTCTTAGAGTGTGGGAAATCCTGAATATTCACCATTAAATATATTGGGCTTAGGGCTTAGCATAAGGGACCAGTTCTTTATCTCAGCAATTGTCATGAAATCTCCAAGATTAGATCATTATTAGTGAGACTCACAAGGTCATTCACACAACCCACTCACCTGCTAAGTACATGTCTGAGCAGGCATTTCAACTTGCAGTCAGTTCTCAGAAGTCTAGCAACTAGCCACCAATTAACAACATTTCAGCTTACTGCAAACGGACTAAGATTTAGTCAGCTGGCTTATTTCCAATGTTTAAAAATATTTTAATATTATTAAAGTAACACTAACTAGGACCTTTAGTTTAAAAAATTGTGAAATAGCTTCAAGTATTCAACAAGGGACTATATAAATCCTAATAATTAATCCTGTAAACATGAATATAAGTAGAAAAGAAATCTTGAGAAATCTTTGAACTTACTCTAGACATAGACATAACCTTTGCTTTAGCACTACAATTAGAGCTGCACCAAACCAGCCATTAGAGCTGTTTTAGATAATAAAAAGATTTTCTATAGGAAGGCAAAGGGTGGTTTATTTCCTGAAAGCTTATTGAAAGCTTTTTATATTCTCACCAAAGTTTTCAGCTTGTACAGTTCGAGACAGTGGGCAAGTTTAGATACTTAGAATTACACATTAATTGTCCTTCACTCAACAAAAATGCTTTTTTAGGCCTCAGGAAAGCAAAAGTATTCTATGAATCTCAGCTAACCATTCTTGAATCCTTTCTATTGCTGCAAATGATGGTTTCTTATTCTAGGTGGCTTTAGCGAAAACTTTTTTTAATCCAGTCCAACACTAATTTAACCTATGACATTCACTGGAATTGATGATGGGAATTGTAATCCCCCAATTTTTATACAATCTATCCATAGTTGTGAGAACATTGACCATTGCTTTCCATGAGGGCTACTGTCTGCATTGGGCTTAGTTAAGTTACTCTTCTCCTTCTTGGACCAACTTTCCCGAAAAGTGATGCTGAAGAAGTTCTGAGCCACTTTTGTAACTTCGTTTTCACCAGCTAGATTGGCTGCATAACATTTGGCAAAGCTGAGTAATTATCAAATACACATATTTTTCATCCAGTTTACATGACTATGCATATACAAAGAAGTTGAACTCAAAACTGTAATTTATGTAATTATGTCTTAAAACTGTAGAGCATGGGTGTCAAACTCGCTGCGTCACATGATGTGTCATAACATACCACAACTTTTTTCGCATTACTGGAGCTGGGGTGGATGCGGCTTGTGTATGATGCAACCAGCCGGCAGGCTGGCAGTTTGACACCCCTGCTGTAGAACAAATGAAAACATTTCACAGTACTCGATTCTAATTCCTCTTTTTTAGATGCTAGGAATTCAATCCTATAGCAGCATAGTCTACAGCTGTCAGCTTCTTGTGCTATAATATTTGTGGAAGAAAGAGACACCATCTTCTGGTTCAATAAAAGAATCATTACAGGAAAACTTACGATTACTTATTGCTAAAAAAAAAAGAAAATTTCAGATCATAAAAATGTTTCTATTTATCATCAAGCTGGATAGTTAGAAGAAACTGATCTAATCAGAGACAGGTTTCATCCTTGGAAGATGAAAAGATGATGCATCCATTCTTTGTTTGCAAGAAATCCCCAGGCCCTAAAGGATTTCTGCAGTTCCCAACTCTACATAGCAAAGATTACTATATAATTAGAATTAAGAACACAAAATACAAAATTATATGCTTGCTCTGTTTCAGGCACTTTCAAGATCATAGGTTTATTTACCATAGGTAAAAAGCTAGTATACAGATTGGGAATTCCCTTTACTTTCAACTACAGTTATATGCATCATTTAGTATTCTCTATTTTCAGTGTTAAAGAAAAATCTCTAGATACCAGCCCCACTATTAATGTGTTCTGTTATTTGAACCAAAAAGGGGAAAAAAGCCAGTTTTTAATTTGTTCAATGCATAATATTTACATTGTGAAGCAAGGACAAGCAACAGGAAAGAGGTAATAAACTTTAAAAAGCCAGTTTATATATTTTACAATAATGTGCTAATCAGCATAATTGTATATAAAAATTAAAACATAGTAGAGTGTCCTACTACAGAACTCTTAATTGGTTTAACTGTAGTATTCACCTGCTAACAATTTACATGCAATACTTGCTAAGATTGACAGCTGATTTTTTTTGTGAAGTGTTAAGTAGATTAATGACATGAGACATAGTACTGTATTAGGTTGTGAATTAACTAAAACTGAAAACTGCACAAAGAATTTTACTGGTCACAAGCTTCTTCTGAAAATAAGATTTAAAAAATTATAATAACGTAGTTTCATCATACTACAAATGCTATCAAGGCAATGCATAGGCAGATTGTACCTGGATGGCACAAAGCCCAGGCAGGTCAGAAAAGAATCACACATGTTCATTCACTCACTTATAGGAGGCCCAGCTTCCAAAAACAGGGCAGGGGAGACGGGAAGGCAGCAGTTAAAAAAGCAAGTAATGGAATGCCAGGTGTACCATCCATTGACATTTGGAATTTTACTAAAATCATTTAATGTGCTCGCGTGTTAATGTACAATTCTTACTATGTACAGGCCACAATGGAATGCATCCCATCATAAAAGCTCTTTGTGAAACAATAGGGCCCTTCTGTACTAATTTGAGATTTCAGAATGTTTTGCAGAGGAAAAAAACAAAGCATAAAATTAATATATTTTTGCATGGGCAGCAATATGCAAAAAATTACTGAGCCCATTTGGGATATTCAAGGTTTTAGAATAATTTGAACACATCCAAACTTCAATAAAGAAAGAAAATATATTTCACCAAGTATTGCTTTTATGCTTTCGTTCAGGTGGGTTGGTTCTATATAAGTTTCCCACATAAGTGTTACTGGTTTAACACTGCCTGTAAAAACACTTTCTCCAGATTTCAGTGTAGCTAAACTTAGGGATGTCAAAATCCTTCTATGATTTTACTTCATAATGCTCCGCTGCTGAGTTACATTATAGAGCTAAATCCACTGGAAATTAGGTTCTTGCTTCTCTCCTGGGAAGTGTTTTTTTTTTTTTTTTTGTACAACAGCATTCCGGAGGAAGAAAAGGAAGTACACAATAGAAATCTAAAGTAACTTAAATTGGATATAAAACAGAATGACAATATGACAGCTCACCAGTTTAAGAACAGGAAGTAACTTTCTTGCACCAGCAGAATCCTGTAGTAGACATATATGGGTGGCAGTGGGGGGGGGGGTGCATGGGGACCCAGAACACATTACCTACCATTCTTATGAACAGGAGCCGATTTTCATCACAAAAGGGGTGGTACAGATAACAGAAAGTATGAATCATCAAGAGAAGATTAACTGATTTACATGAAATGAGGAAAAAAAAGTGTTTGAGCAGTCTGATTGTGTTTATTTTGTGAAGGCCGCTACGACAGCCCACAGAACCTCGTTTGTGTTGGCCTTCATACATTCGACTTCAGGGTCTAAATCCAGGAGCTGCCGCACCCTCTTTGTGGCAAGGTCATACTGCTCATCCAGAAGGGGGGCAAAAGCGTTCTCCAGGACGTCTGATGCGTGGGCTAAGTAAATGAGAGCCAGCAAGCGCTTGTCCATGCGGTGGGGGTCATTCACCCATCGGTCAAGCACAGCTTCTTGAACTTTCTTGATGAGGCGCTGCTTAATGTTGTTATTGGTGAGGGGGTGCGTGGTCATGTCAAAGAGGAGAAAGTTCTGTTTCTCCGTAGTCAAAACCCCCTTTTCAACTAGGTTTTTGGCTAACCGTTCCCGGACGTTTCTTAACTGGTAATGCAATTTTAATGGATTCCATGTCTCACCTGGAAAAAAAAAACATACAAAAAGGTTCCTAAACATTTAGCAGATGTTGGTAACAACATTACCCCAAAAATATGGTTTTTTTTAAATAAGAGGATTTAATGAGCCACTTCATAATGATGTATTCAGCACCTGTGGATCACACAAACACCCTCTAGAACACAGGTGCCAAACCCGGCATGCCACATGGTACACCGTGCCGTATCTTGACTTTTTTTGCATTGCCGGAGCTGGAGTGAGCATGGCCTCCGTATGATGCAACTGGCCCCAGGGGGCCGGCAGTTTGACACCCTTGCTCTAGAAGCACAATCTCCCTCCCTGAACCTCTTTGCAAGTGAACCTCAAAAATATTCTAGTGGATGAGGCCACATGCATTTTTGGGTGTGTGTGTAGAAATATGAAACTTTCTACAAGAAGATAAACCAAATAACTAAACAAACCTTGTAACAAATGTTGAACAGTTAAACCTTATCCTAAAGAAAGTACAGGTAGTCCTTGACTTATGACCACAACTGTGCCCAACATTTTTGCTGCTAAGCAAAATATTTGTGAAGTGAATTTTGTCCCATTTTAAAAATTTCTTGTCACAGTTGTTAAGTGAATCACTGTTAAGTGAATCGCTGCAAGTTTGTAACACGGTTGTTAATGCTTCCCCATTGACTTTGCTTGTCAGAAGGTTGCAAAAGGGGATCACAAGACCCCAGACAGTGCAACTATCATAAATATGAGTCAGTTGCCAAGCAACTCAATTTTGATCATGTAATCATGGAGATGCTGCAACAATAGTAAGTATAAAAAAAAGGCCGTAAGTCACTTTTTTCAGTGCCACTGTAACTTTGAATGGTCACTAAATGAACTGTTGTAAGTCAAGGGCTACCTGTAAAGCAGTGTTTCTCAACCTTGACAATTTTAAGGCATGTGGACTTCAACTCCCAGAATTCCACAGCCAGCAAAGCTGGCTGTGGAATTCTGGGAGTTGAAGTCCACATGTCTTAAAATTGTCAAGGTTGAGAAACACTGCTGTAAAGGAAATTGACATTTAAAATACAGTAAGAGAAAAAGAGAAAGTGGTGTGCCCTTCTGTCTTCAATATTTTGCAGATAACTTTATTTAGTAGATTCTTTTCAAAAGATTGGTTCCTGAATAACTTGACCATTAGTTGAACTATATATACTGTAGGCAAAGTCGACTGCCTATCTTATTAATAAAATAAGACCCCTCAAGATATGCTGAAAATACATAGATTTCACTCTTAAAGTCTTATCAAACAAGTATGAAAAGAAAAAAAAAACTTGTTTTGTGTGACCATACAAGGCGACCATTTAATTAATTTTTTTTTCTTGGTATATGGGTGACCCCTTGTGATCAAACCCTCAAACTACAAGGAATTCTGAAGAAGTTAAGTTACTTCTAAGTTGACAATTATTTTATGTTCACAGATCAGTGCTCTTTGCAGACTTATGAACATTTTGTAACTTTCCTTATGAATGAGTTCACAATGCAATCACAGTAAGCTGAAACCCTGTTGTATCTTAAAATTAGGCTAGAAGGAGATTTTAATGCACATTTCTTTTCAAAACTATAAATGAGATATAGTACTTCAAATTAGAAGCAGGGCCTCGCATGACTGAACATACTGAATACCAATAATTTAAATCAAATTATTGTCCCAAACTAAAAGATCCAAGGAGGAGGCTAGGCTAGAACTCATTCAAAGGTGATACACAGAGATGTAGATATATCACCTTGGAGGAAGTAGTATCGCATTCTATCCAAATAATGTACTTTACACGTTACGACTACGAGTTTATTACATGCAAAGAAATACAAACGCAATTAAGGACCCCTTGTTCAGTGCCATTCAAAGCTACAATGGCACCATATGAAAAGACTTGTGATGGTTCCTTGAAGTTCTGGTTGTTGCAGTGCCCTATGGTCATATGATCATCATTTGTGACCATCACTGTCAGCTTTTGACAAGCAAAGCTAATGGGAAAGCTAGTAGGAGTTGTGGTCACATGATGTTGCACTTTAATGACTGCACACATTTCACTTATTACAAGCAGAAATGCCACAATTGCTGATGTCACAGTCATCTATTGTCACACTTCGTGTGTGCGTCACTTAGCAACAGAGTTGCCAGCTCCAATTATGTTAAGTGAAGACTACCTGTAATTTATAGATCTATTTTTGGTATACTTGTGGAAATATTATACAACCTGTGAAACTTTGGAAACGCATAAGTACATTTTTAAATAAGGTAGTTGGGGGTGGGGGAAATATGACTAAGTATAAAATAGTTTTCCCCAATCTGTCTCCCTCCATTTATGCTGCAAACCATGCTGACTTGGGAATTCTGGGAGCTGTAATGTCAACACAAAAGGTAGACAGGTTGGAAAGCCAGCAGAGAGTAATATATGTTAAAAATCATCACAAATCTGTATATGATGCCAACAGTCACAGTGGGGACCTTATAATCTAAGGCAACTTCCTGCTTCTTTTCCAAATTTGTTTTCTTGGCCAACAACCTCCACACAAATAACAGTGATGTGTATCTTTTCTGCTTTTGCTTATTGAACCAAAACTACATATTGTTGCTGTTGTTAGTTGCGAAGTTGTCTTCGACCCATCACGACCCCATGGACAACATTCCTCCAGGCCTTCCTGTCCTCTACCATCTTCTGGAGTCCATTTAAGCTCACTCCTACTGCTTCAGTGACTCCATCCAGTCATCTCATTCTCTGTCGTCCCCTTCTTCTATTGCCCTCAATCTTTCCCAGCATTAGGCTCTTCTCCAGTGAGTCCTTCCTTCTCATTAGGTGGCCAAAGTACTTGAGTTTCAACTTCAGGATCTGGCCTTCTAAAGAGCAGTCGGGATTGATCTCTTCTAGGACTGACCGGTTTGATCGCCTTGCAGTCCAAGGGACTCGCAGGAGTCTTCTCCAGCACCATAGTTCAAAGGCCTCAATTCTTTGGCGCTCAGCCTTTCTTATGGTCCAACCTTCACAACCATACATTGCAACTACATATAAGTGCATATAAATAGTATTTTAATATGCTTTCCCCCTAAGCATTTAACATATCTGAAGAATATTAATAAAGTAATAAATATTAGCCAATTTGCAACTTGGAGGACTGAAAAGACTGGCACCTGACTCAACAGGTATTTCAGTCAGAATCAGTCTTCTCAGGCTTATCTGGCTTTCTGAATCCCTACGCAAAACATTTTTCTGGAAACTGTGAAAACATTGTTTGCTATACTGGCAAGAAAAGCTCTGCAAGGATAAAAGGAAATAATGCAGACACATATCATTAAGATTTACAAAGGATTAACTCCCCTGATTTCATTGGAACGAAGAATAAACATTATGCTGCTTGTGAAAGATACTTAAGGTGGAGAAAGTTAATAAGCAGACTGAAAGAAAAACAAAATTGGAAGCCATGTTGCATTGAACTATGAAGCAGAAGTAGATTAAAATGTTCTATTACAGTGTATGACTAAACAACACATTTGGAACTCATTTAGGAATATTTTTTTTTATTTTTCAGAAATAACATCGGTCTCATAACTCAAAAACTTGAGTTTTTGTGAATTTTGTACCTCCTACCTTATTAAGATGCACTCGGCTCATTAAATGAATATGAGATATCTCAGGGTGGGGAAGGCCATGGAGGGGCTAGTAATGGAACAGGCCCCCAAGGCCTTACCGACCCACTAAGATACCTCATGCTTCCCCCTCCCTTCCTGCTGTGCTGGACTCATCTTGAAAAGATCCATCTCCTCTCTGACACGGTTCCTGCTGCCGCCCGGATCTGAGGCCGAGGGATGCTTCCACAGCCCTCCGGAGGCCCGATCCAGGCACCGGACACCTTCTCCAGGCTGCTGCTACATTTAAATTCTGTTATTACATCTTCTCTGAACCAGGTTAGACAAAGTTAAAACATTTTAATTTTATTTTTTAACTGACGACAAAGACGGAAGCAAGGAGCCCTGATTTCCATAACGAGGTTATGAGAATTATTAAAGAGTAGTAATGATGGGATCTTTCTTCAAATTAACTAGTAATGGTTTGTCTTCACCTGCTTTTGGGAAAATTAGGATAATAAAGAATATTGTATATGAACTGTATGAACCATTGTATCAAATTCCATGATGACATTTTCCAATCTGAATTGGAGCCTTATAATCCCTTTCTGAATTCTATCTCTGTTCACAGAAACTAAAAAATAACAGATTCAAAAATAATCTTCCCAATAGCTAGTTTCTAAGCATGAAAAAATGGTAATATCTCCAAGTACAAAATCAAAATTGTGAAAAACAAGAAAGGAAAGATAATAAGAGCATCTCCAGATTCAAATAGTTTGCAAGCAAAAAGTGATCAACCGAGTCAGGTGAGCAAAGCTAATCCAAACAAATACAATATTAGGAACACAGCAGTACATGTATAACAGCCCTGTCCCACCAAAGCAATACATACTTTTTACTGGATTATCATGTTGTAGGGAATTTTAAATGATTACCCCCACAAATCTTAGAAAACTAACACTAATGCTTTAATACTGAAAATTGGTTAACATTGTATGGCCAGAAAACAGGTATCACATGGGCAGGAATATATCAAGATCACAATTTGAAAACTTGTGCCTTAAACACTAGGATGTAATTAATGGCAGCCCAAATCAATTTGAAAGCATTCAGAAAGATTACATTTTCACAGAAATGTCTTACCACTAAGTAGTTCTATCCAGTTCTGCACTGTTTCTGGAGGCTGAGTTTCTTTAATGTGCTTCAAAGCTTCATCAAGTAGAACATCTCCTGTAGGAGCGTCTGATTTGCATATCACCTGATTGGAAGTACAACAGATAAAATGAGCACTTCAGACTTTAATTTCTTAACACCAAGTAAATACAGCCATATAACTTTTTACAATTAAAGGATTAAAGACAGCAGACTGTGTCAAGCATCCTTTCACTTTTCACAATCAAAACTCAGTATCTTCTGTGAGCTATTGAAGAATTTAAATGAAGAGTAATTATTCCAGATTACTAGTGTGTGTGTGTGTGGTATTAACAATCACAGAAACAGAAATCCACATCAATGCAGAGACATTGAAAAGAATGGCTAGGATAATTAAACTCAGTATGATTCTTCCAAATATATCCCTATACTGGTCAAATAAAAAAGGAGTCAGGAAGCAAAGCAATTAAAGCCACTGCTATCAAGTCATCATAGATTTAAAAAAAAGAAGGTACATTAGCAATAAATGCAAAAAAAGCTATTGTATGGATCTTAAAGGGAATGTATAAGATATTGGAAAGAGAATGAAAAGGAAGTATGGATAATGGCTCTCCCTTAATCTTTTAAATGCCAAACTCACTCTCCTTCTGATAGAGACCAGATGTCAACTCTTTGAGGTAGTCCAGAAAAGAAGCCCCAACCATGAGTACTAACACTACCTTTATTAGAAAATTACAGTAACAGAATCTTGTAAGTCTGAAAGCCCTTCTCCCCTCCTTTACTTTTACTTTCCAAAAAATTGGGAGGAGTGTCTTCTAAGATGCTTCCCCCTCCCCCTTCTGGAGAGTGAGATTCCTTTCGCATGATGGCCAGCTTTTCCTCCTGTCTTCTAAGGTCATTCTCATAATTCTTATTCTCATACTATTACACCAGATATGGAGAATGTACAGTTCCAACAGGGTGAATAGGATCCAAGAGATCCCAATAGAGCTCATAAATGTTCTTGTTGGGGCCAATCTTTTTTCCTAAATAAAGAAAATATCTTGTACCTGATTAGTTGCTGATTTCACATTCTATAATCACACTTAAAAGTCCTTCTAAAAGTCCAGCTAAACTTCTAAATACCAGAAAATGATGTAGGGACAGTATTTCCCAGGATGGCAAATACTGGGGAAGGATCTTCTCTCTCAGCACAAGAAAGTGTACCCTCACTTCAAACAGTGGGGGGAGGAGGCTGGGGGGGGGAACCAAGGATACAAGCAGAGAAATTTAAAAAGTAAACTGCAACATCAGCTGGGGCTATTGAGAGATTATTAAACTGAGGGCATGAATGGAATGAGTGAATATATGAGAAAGTATGCACCAAACAAAACATTTTGCTTCAAACACAAAACAAAGCAGTAATACCTGAAGATATCTGAGACTGCATTCCAGCTAAATAAAATTCAAAATATTTTAAGTATTCCAGCTATAGGAAAAAACAGAGAATTCAAAACAAGTATTTTTTTTTTTTTGGTCCTTTGTTCCAGAGCCACCAAGGTAGGTGAGATCACAATCCACGTTGCTATTTAACAGGCACTAAACTTCCACCACGTTGTGAGGGGATTATTTTAGAATACATTAAACATACATCAGGATTAGAGCAGAGACTGGAGTTTGATTAGAAAAAAAAACTTCCTCCTGCTATATTTTTTAGATTAGTATTTTTTTAAGAAGTTGTAAGCTTCAACACAAAAGTTTAATTGCAATACTCAAGATGAAACATTTGAAATGATCGAACTTTGTTCTGAGGTTGGAACAAAACAGAATTGCATTTGAGAGACCTGCTTCAAGGTTGATATATTTCACACTCCTGTAGTGACTACAGCTCTATGAAAATGCATCACATTTAGTTCAATTAAAAACATTGCTGACTATTGAGGGCTCTCAACAATTTATAATTAAAACCATTGTCCACTCCATAGTCACTTTTCCTCCTGGGCTTACCAGAACAAATTCAGACCATACTAAATGAACCCAAATATGAACAGAAAGAAAAGTGGAAATATAGATGTGAGATTCAATATAAAGGATGTAGGATAAAGCCAGAAAGAAACATTACAACCAAATAGAAGTCTACATGAAAAAGTCATAAAAACAGATGAATGATTACAGATGTAAGTGATAACCAAGTAAGAGGTAGATCCATTGAGGATCCCGGAACAACAAGTTGTTGGGGGGAAAGGGGAATGACTTTTTAAGATGGAATTTTGAGTTATCAAACCAAGATCTTGTCAACACTGCAGGCACTTCAAACGACACTGGGTGTTAGAAAGAAGGAATGGGGACAGTAACTGAATTTGAACATTTTAAACACTATAATAATTCTTATCAGCTCAACATCAAACTTGGGTGCCTATTTTAAAGGTAACGTACAGTTAATGGAAAGCCCCTGTAATATAGCTGTTCATTGTTTGATTATGTATAAACCTCTTTATACTTTGTTACATGTAAACTTGATCCCCAAGGCAATGGTTAATTGAAATCATGATTAAAACAAATTGTCTTTAAGGGTAAGCAACCGGCAGTTCAAAATTTTCCTCTGAATTTTGGTACCAGACATAAATATTCATTTGTTTTATTTAAAACATTTATATAGCTGCTCATCCTACAACCAACTTTGGCTACTGGAAAAATTAAGAGTAAATTATGAATCATTTCATAGGTGCAATTAATACACCTAGAATAGTTCTTTAAAAGCTCCCCAAAGTGAAAAGTAAAAAAAAAAAATAAAGAAAATCTTAAGATTGCATTCTTGTCCAAACTTTTTCAACCAAGGAATTATTTTTGAAAAAGGGGAGCCTGGTTTCTACCTCACGTCTACTAATTGCTCATTCCTAGTTTAATATAATATTAAGAGCTACCAGATCAGTAAGTACTTTGCAACCTTCAAGAAATGGTTAATCTTAAATACTCTCTAACTGCAATTAAAAGTTCATATAACAAACACTGGGTTGAAGCCCATAAATACTTAATGACTATAAAGACCTAATGTTTTAGAAACCAAAGTATTGCTAAAGTACAATTGTCAACAGGCCCAACTAACACAACCAATAATTAGGTATCTACAGAGTTATAATTTAAAAGCATTTGAAGGCCACAGGTTTCTACTCTGCTATCTCTCAACCAAGTTATTTGCTCGTATTGTCTAAACATCAAACCTTCTTCCTTGGATGTATCAAAATAAAAAAAGAAAAGTCGTCTAAGTTATTACTGTACAGCTGTTGAATTTCAAGGAACATTCCTGCATTTTTGGCAAATCTAAGAATTCTGAGTATTCTGCAAAGGAGAAAGGAAACCCATTTAAAATTAACAGCTGTACATTAACAGCTGTACATAAGTAATATGTCTTTGCTGTGCAAAACTTAATTCTGAACAGTGCAGTAGTGTGGAATTTTTTCAAACTTGCTTTTTGCATAGGTGAGTCAAATGTTATATTGACATGCAACCAGATTTGTGGTAGAGAATGAAGCGGGTGTTATTCACAAAATCTCTCCAGGAAGAAGGGGAGAGAACTGCCTTTATATAATGCCAATAAAATCAAACTGAAAGCAACACTGAGTGATTCATTCCCTAACTAGGCCTTAACAAATTTCATATACTAAGCACTTTTATAAGATTGACCAAATTTTTAAGCTATGCAAATTAAAGTACCAAACTTACTGATTAGCCATTAGCCATTTATAAATATCACCATATGTATAAATGTAAGGGAAAAAGATTTTAGAAAAATATAGAGGTTTACTTTACTGCACTTACCTTTCTAGTTAGCAAACTTTTACGTCTCATTCCAAATGCTTCAAGTTGAAGACGCCCCCTCAGTGCCAATTCAATTAACATGCAACCACGAAGCCCAGATGAAATGCAATCATTCCAAAATGATGTATAACCCTGAAGGGGGGGGGGGGAAATGTATAGCTGAATTTTTTGTAAATGCATTACAAGAATAAGTACACAAATACACAAGTACACAGATAAAACATTCTGTTGTCTTCTGATTCAACAAAAATAGTTGCAACAAAAATAAACTAAATACCAATGAAGAAATATTCTCTTCCATTTTTTGGGGATTGGGAAACCTGAGAATTTTACAGGAATGTTCTTAAATTGGGTCTGTGATACATACAAAGTCCACTCTTAACTACGATTACAGTATATTGAGGTTTCCACACATGTATGTGTATCCATAAATTAACTAAACAGATGTATTAAACAGTAAAAAGGCTAAATCTACAAGCATCTTCTTTTACTACCTTTATTTACAAACTCACACAGTAATATCCATTTGCAATTAAACATTAATATCTGAGTTAGATATAATTAGTACCATAATTTGTATTGATTCTAGAAAGAGGTAGAAAAATTGAGATCACATTATTAGATCAGGAGACCTCAGGATTTAAACTTTCTTTATGCTTGTCCACACTGAATGAGATTTCTAATTTAAGGTATATTACACTTTTCTATATGCAAAGTACTTTTGCTAGGCTATTAATGAACAGTTTTTCTTTAGCTACTATGTACTTTATGCTTTCCTGGAAGCTGACATACCTAACAATCTCTCCCATTTTTCCCAACATCCCTATGAAATAGGTTGGACTAAGAAAATGAATAAAATCAGCCAGTGAATTTACATCAAGTATGTACTGTATAGTATTTTCCTTCTGAAAAACTACCAGTAAAGCATCAAATGCTAGTTTTCACTCTCTTGCACATCAACAATTTCCAGATACTTTTCTTGTTCTCTTATATAACAAATGTTTCCACTTTTTTTCTTTTTCCCTACCTTATTCTGTATTATCTTTATACTACAGGAATACTGCTGAAAAAGCTTTTCTTTCTCTAAATTGGAATTGAAAAGGAAGTTTTGATATCTGCATGCATAATTGTTCATTATATAACTATTAAGGAAGCATTATATTTGTGTAAAATATATGTCTAATCATATTTGGCCTGTAACTGCTAAAAGGAGAGACAAGACCATTGTCACTGATTCACCTGTACCAATGTCTCTGCTTCTGAAAAGTTTTTCCAACTTGTAGTGAATATAAAAAATCCCAGGCTCTTCCACAAATGGAGGAAGCCCTTTCTTCTACCTAATGGCAAACCCAGACAAAAGGAATTTAAAAAATAAAATTAGGACACCAATCTTTACTCACCAAATAAAATTATCTTTAGATTTAATTAAGAACATTCAAAGCTACTTGGGTTCTGAGGCATTAAAAAGAAATGGAATGGAAAATATTAAATACAGTACCATCTTTCTTTGAGCACTATAGAATAACTCTGGAAAACTATGAGCTTTATTATTTGCTCATATATTTTCAAAAGAATGCTTCAATAATAAACATATGTATGCATCTTCTATTAACTGAATTATACTGCACATTACACTTAGAAATCACCCATCCCCCTCACAAAATGACTATGGACAAGTGTACAAGAGATAAAAACATAAATATTATACATACATTTTGTATTAGCAGACAATTAAAACAAGAATAGAATAATGAAAATTAAACATTAAAAAGATGGGGGTGGGCCCTCAAGGCACTAACCAGCCTCATGACTGCCTGCTCCTCTATACACAACAAGTAGACAGAGTAAAGTCTTCAGACACTTCCAAGGCCAAGAAAGTGGGGGCCTGCCTTACCTCTGGGGGTGTGCTGCCCTGCTCCCCCCACATATGGCAAGAGTTCTACAGGTGTTTATTCCAATCTCTCCCCCAAACAGGTCCTCAGAAAGCACTCCTGCTGCACAATAGGGCAAGAGTCCCTGGAAGACAGAGTCCAGGAAAGCAGTCCAAGAGTCAACCAGACCAGAAGGCGCAGAATTGGGCACATTGCTCCAGCAACACTCAAGTCTTCAGGGCAGGATTAAGTAGGCAATGCCAAGTATAGCCCTTTATAAGAGGCAAGGTTGCCTCCTCGTGAGTAGTCTAGCTGACTGGCATTGTGCCTATATCAGTGTTTCTCAACTTTGACAATTTTAAGGCATGTGGACTTCAACTCCCAGAATTCCACAGCCAGCATTGCTGGCTGTGGAATTCTGGGAGTTGAAGTCCACATGCCTTAAAATTGTCAAGGTTGAGAAACACTGGCCTATATCCTCTCTGCTCTACGTGTCCTTGGATCAGGAGGTGGTGTGACTCTTCCTCATTGCTGATCAGTGGCAGCTGCTTCCTGTCCTCCCCTGGAGCCTTCTGGCCAACTTGCTGCAGCTGTGGCTCTCCTAGCTCAGCCTCTCACTCCTCCGATGGACCCAACTGAGGCTGCACCATCAGGCTAACATTCTCTGAACCCCAATCTTGACTATACTCAGCTCCAAATTTTCCTCTGCAGACTCAAACTCACCCTCCTCCTCTGAACGCGCATCTGAAGAGGGCTGGGGGTGGATCCATGGGGGGGGGGAATAATATTCCAAAGGGTGGGGGCATGGGCAGACAAGGCTCCTTCCTAGACCCTGCCAGGCAATTTTTTTTAAACCGGGGGAAGGAAAGGACTGCAACATATCTTTCCTGCCCACCAAATGGGACAGGCCAATGTAATGGGACAAAGATGGTTCCACAGATAATCTGACCCCATGCCACATAGGGATTTAAAAGTCATAGTCAACACTTTGAATTGGAGCCAGAAACAAATGTAGCTCATGCAGCAGAAGTGTTTCATGCATCGTCCTTGGGCTGCCCAAAATTGCTTGCATGGCTGCATTCTATACCAGCTGAAGTTTCTGGATATGTTTCAAAGGTAGACCCATGAAGAGCACATTAGAATAGTCCAGACAGAAGATGACCAGGGAATGAGTCATGGAGCAAACAGCCCCCCTTTCCAGGAAAGGACATAGGTGACAAGCAACAGGAAGTTGAGCAAAGGCCCAATTACAATTTGAATGAAATTATAAATCACCTAATTTGCTTATAAATCACAATAAAATTGTAATACAATACAAAAAAGATATAAACAACTGAACATCTGAAAAATATAAAGCTAGAAGTCAGTAACTGAGGTGATGTGGTGTTAAAATGTTTCATGCTACATTCTAAAATCTAATATTTGAACATAAAGTAGGGAAAACTGAGTGGGAGATATATATTCTGAAAATAAATAAGAGGCCCAGGAATTCCACTTAATTTGTCTCTCCCTATGGTCGATGATTTACAGTGCTCTCCTATACATGTAACATGGAAATAAGTCCAATCAGGTAGTTTCCTCTTAGATAATTAGACAAAGAATTAACCCAACAAGGGATAAACTGGTTCATAAAACAAATGTACTATTTTATTCATATTAATCAAACAGAAATGAAAGAAACCTAAATCTTTAACATTTATTAAGCATGTTTACACTGCAGAACAGTAGCCATCTGGATTGATGACCAGATTTTTTTTCTCAGAAAAAACAAAGCCATCAGAAGAAAAAAAAAAAGGACCTGACTCAGTAGTACCACAAGTATTTTTATAAGTTCCAAGACTAATTTTAAGCAAACCTAGAATTCTACAACACACAGGAAATACATGACAAATTAAATGCATAATCAAGTTTTTTTCACAATGCTCCTGAAAGCAAACATATTACAGGCAGTCCTCAGGTTACAGCCACTTGTTCAGCAATCATTCAAAGTTACAACAGCACCGAACAAGTGGTACTTATTACCAATCCTCAAAATTCCATCTGTTGTATTATCCCATGGCCGTGTGCTCATGACTTGGGTGACTGGCAACTGGTCCCCATTTTTGACAGGTTTCAGTATCCCTCGGTCACCTGGCCACCATTTGCAACTTTCCCTGCCAGTTTCCCACAAACAACATCAATAGGGAAGCCAGCAGAGAAGGTTGCATGTTGCTTTCACCACTTTTTCTCCTGAGGAGATTCATTACAATAAATAAGATCTCAGGAACCTTGTACTCTGTAACAACTCCTGCCTATCTACATTTGTAAGTGCTCATCTGCACTCCCTCGCCAGCCCGTACTGCCTAGCACCCACTTGAAGCCCTACCCAGTACACCTGTTTCTCCTAGCACAGGGGTGTCAAACTGCCAGCCCATGGGCCAGACGTGTCACCGGGAAACCGCGCCCACCCCATTGCCGGCAATGGGGAAAAAGCTCCGATACATTGTGTGATGTCGTGAGTTTGACATGTCTATCCCTACACCTGCCCACAGCATCCCTTGAACTCCATAGTGCATGCCTACCTGCAAGACCCCACCACAGCACCCACATTTACCCCCTCGCTCCTTGCCTGGGACTCCTATCTCTTCCCATTTAGTAACCTGTACAATTTGAGGATTACAATGGCAGTCAAGAGTACAAGGATTGCTCTTGATAAATACACAGACTTTACAACCATCAAACTTTAGAATCATTTATGGCATCGCTCAGTTTCAGAAATTCTAGTCCCAATTGCTTTTGTAACTGGAGGATTACCTGTACTTATTAATAAGTTGCAAACTTTCATCTACTAAAATCCTACTTCCTGCTATGAATTGACACAGACATTAGAAGCTTCATTTTGATATAAACATGTACATATGAATATTACATCCTGAATTTGGGAACAGGTATTTCAACTTTTCACATATGACATGACAGTAACGTAACAGTAATATGAAACGATTATAAATATAACAGTGATCGTTTCTATTTTGAACTCAAAAAAGGACTTTAATGTACAAAAGAACAAAAATTGTATTAGAAACAAATTGCATGTTACTACTGTAATATTAATGAACTGAACTGTGTATCTGAAGATACCTAAGATATCTAAAGACAAGTTTTAATCTGATGCTAAACGAAATTAAGAAAGATGTTTTTATTTTAAATAGATATAATCATAACCTATTGGGAAGGGGTAGAGAAACTCCTTTACATAAATTATTCTGTATTTCTAAAATA